AACAAATTAATATGATAAGAAGCTCCCTAGAAAAAATGTTCTTTTTAACACGAAGTAAAACACAAGTGAGGTAAAATACTAAGTTTAGATTTGGTGTACTTCCACTGCAACTGTACTACCGCAGATCAAATTCCCATTAGCGACGGCTAGTCAGCAAAACAGGCAGTCCTGATAGGGACCTCAAGAAAGTATATTTCTATACCAATGAAAACATACTTCGAGCGATGATCCCATTCGATGGCTTTTTTGGAGAAATTTTGTAGTGCCATTGATGCACTTTCGCAATATGCTTCTCAAGTGCAGATAAATCATGGTATCGACGTTGACAACTAGTTAGTGGACAAGGATACGGTTTTTCCTAAAAAATAATCACAACATTCCCCCAAAGACTGAAGTATGAAAAGCCCTCTTTATAAGACGCACTGAGTAAGTGCGATTCACCAAAAAAAAATTTCAGAAATTGAAACTAGGCATTTTATCAGAAGAGTGTTCAAGAAATTCAAATTGAGACTATATATCTGGTCAAATGGTTCTAGCTTTACTTCATTTGCCTTTGCCATCTGGAGTGCAACTGCTGTAGTAGCCTCCATAGCTTCATCTTCCTCCTCCTCCAACTTGACGCTCAAATCTTCAACAGTTTTTTGAGGCAAGAAAGCTAGAGCGGCACTAGCTTGATCTCGCATTTTCATTAAAGCACTGTCAAGAGGTCCATGGCGTTCAAGATGTAGTTGTAAACTGCCAACATTCACTGAACGAAAATTGCACTGATGCTGGGGACATTTCAACAAATCACTGCTATCAGTCTGATCACTTTCGGTAACTGATTTGTCTGAAATAAAACTGGTAAATTTAAAAAGAAAAAAGCGGTTAACATTTACAGAGAGAGACTATTAATGAATATGAATAATAGGTAACATTACATACCGTCAACAGTCGCTGCAACGCTGTTTGCTTGCACACAAATCTCTGTGGCATGTTTGCTGATAGTGTGGGTTTGCAGTTGGAATTCATCCGAAAATGTTTCAGGACAGAAATTGCAGTTATGAGAACTAGCTGCCGTTTCCGGCTGTTGACCAGCAATAAGCAAGTTCATTCTTTCAGCCAAAGTCTGGATTTTAAATCAATGGTTTATCTGAGCTTTATGGAATCAAAAGCTATAAAACTCTAACATATGTGAAGGTTTAGCACGTAAAGAAAGTCAATATTTTACTTACCCGTCTAAAACTTTCAACAACTTCCTGCGGCATCTGACAAGTGTGCTTCTCTTGTATATGTTCTTGTAACTGAGGCAGATTCTTAAATTTATATTCGCACCACGGACACTGCTCATTTTTGCTGAAAAATATCAGTTGGTTTCTTAACGGAGCTACAATGTACTTGACTAATAATAGCTATATATCGCCCTGAACAGAACTAACAAGTAAAAGTGCTTTATAAGATGATATGGGAAAGGGAGGGAAGGAGATGAAAAATACCGAATGCGCACAGTTAAGCAAACTTACTTCTCTACAGCATTCAGTTTCTCCATAAACTGTGCACTTCCTGTAAGATGATTTACAGAAACGAGGCTAGGAGTTGAACTGGTTGAATGCTTTGGAGTGCGGTTTGCAGCTGCAGGAGGAGTCTGAATCGGAACAACTCCGTGGGCATCTTGTTTGTGAGATCGAAGTTCGTGTCTAGTTTTCACATCAACTCCGCAAACATCACATCTGAACTTTTAGCTAGTGTCAATCGAAAAACTCAGTCCTACTTTGACGAAAAAAGAAGAACCACACTTCAAGCATATGAAACAACCCTCCCTTTCTCCTCTTCGGAAAGACATTAAAAGTACCGGAAAGAGACTGCTCCGCTCTTCTCTTCCTCGAGAGTATCCACATTAGCGATTACCGTTTTATTTTCGTCAATAACGATTTTGTGCATCTTGAACATGTGTGTACGTAAGAAATATTTATTGCACAGATTCTTATTGCACAAGTCACAATAGTTCTTCTCCGTAGACGAATACTGCCGTTTAACAGCTTGCTTAGGCTGTAATTAAATGCACAAATAACAATATGGAATGAAAAATCTCATTGAAAAGCTAACCAAATATAATAACAACCCAAAAAATATCGACAAGTTGCTCGAGCCATACCTGGTTAAACTGACCGTTCATCCCTGCAGATAATAAATTCGGCTGGTTAACGTCAGGTACTTGGAAATTTTGTGGCAAAGTGGGAGGGAGCATAAATTGAAGTGGGAGACTTCCCAATAAAAGACTGTTTTGGATTGTTGCACTACCACCCATATTGCAGTGCTGAAGAAGAATATGTTGTTGCAAATACTGCCTTGATTCAAATTCCTTGTCACATAGTTCACAGGCAACTTTCCCATCAGAAGCAGCAGGGGAAATAGGCTTTACTGGAGAGCTGTAAAATGACTGTTATGATGTAAAGAAAAAGAAATCAAAAACTTTACGAACATTACACGTATCTTGTCAAACCAGGAGTGACTAATCTCCATAATAACAATGAGAAAAAAAAAAAGCTGACAAACTGTTGCCTGAAAAAAAATTAAACCTTTGATTTTGTGATGTCCCTTGATTTGCAGCAGCATTCGCTCCCAAAGGTGGATGGTCCTGGGTTTTGTGTGTAACTAAGTCAAATAAAGAAGAAAAAGATCTGCTGCACAAATTACACCCGAACTCGTCGCTTACAGAACTATCTGTTCCGTTTGAGCTTTGTTCCTTCGGTAACGGTCTAAATATTGCATATAACTTAAAGTGGAATTCGAGTAAAAAAATAAATGAAAAAGGTAAAATGCAGTACTTTTAAAAGTATTTTAAGATGAGAATCAGAATGACCAAGCAGTTTTTCCTGAAACTCTACAAAAACTGTCAGAAAAAAGACGATTTGTCCTAATACGCACTTATCTCCATCATCTGTTGTCTCGTCTGCCTGCTCGTTCACACAGTCATTCTCCTGAGTATCAAGCTTCAGCATCTTTTCTGGCGGTGAACCGGAATCTGCGCTACTAACAATCACGGAAGTCGACTGTGCTATGTTTGAAGCAGCTGAAGGAGCGGAAACACTTGAAGCCGCACTACATGCAGCCATCAGTGCATTGAGATTTGCCGAAAACGGCATCGCACTGAGCGCACTTGAGGTAGACGGTGTTGCACCTAACGAAGATATAGCTGAAACCAACAAATCACCTTTCTAATCAATCTACTGTAAGCAAACAAATTTTAGGTTTTGAAAGAATAACATGCGTTAAAAAACATTTGCTTTAAACGGCGAAAATTATAGTTATTGCAGTGTTCAAAATGCATTTTGTAGTTTTTACATGTTCATAATGATTGTTCAAACAAATGAAAACTGTAAAAACGAATATAAAAAATCAAGAAAAAAAGAATAAACAGATTTTAACTTGAGTAAAATGATGCAGACAAATCGAAAAACAAGTTTTTAAAATTAATTCAAGACAGACTAACACTACTGGTCAGCAATTTGATATGTACGGAAAAACTGAATAAACGCTTTACTACGACCATTTTCCCTCACCAAATTACAATAAAAAAAAAAAAA